CCTGGGCGCTGCTCGCGTGCCCTCGGCGCACCTGGGGCTGCGCGCACGAGGCCCGCCCTTCCCGGGAAGCGTCGCGGCCCGGTTCAGATGAACTTTATTAACGAGGCTCAGCCTGCACTCCAGCACCCAATGAAGCCCCCGGGAGGCACTTAGCGAGGGCAGCTGTGGTCTTGATTTTGAAAAGGAGAGTTTTTCGTGGCGGGGGAGGAAGGGCGGGAGCAGTTCCCCAGCTCCCCAGATGGTCCTCCCTGCCCTCTTCTGATGTGCCTTCCTGTCCGCAGGGATACCCACCCACCACCCCAGGGTCTACAACATCCACAGTCGAAATGTCACCCGGTACCCTGCCAATTCCATCGTCGTCGTCGGCGGCTGCCCAGTCTGCAGGTATGTCGCAGGCCTGGGGGCTGCCCCCAGAAGCCTCCGGGAACACACACACCCAGAACCTTACACAGGCAGAGTCGTTGGGGTGGGTCAGTCTGGCCCTGGGACAAGCTGTGGTGGGCAAGAGTGGGTTCAGTTAGCCTGGGTCTGAACATGTTTCGTGTGGCAGGTGAGGTGGGTTCTGTTTCTTGGAGAGTTGGGTGCTTTGGGCCGCTGAGTCCCAAGTGAGTGGGATGCAGAAATGTTAACAGTTGAACTGACTGTTTTGCATCCCAGGTTCTCTGGAAGGCGATGGGAGGTTCTCTTTCCCAGGGAAGGGGCTGTCTTAAGTATGCGGGCAGGGTGGTCGTGTGTTCCAGAAGCCTGAGTCCTAGGGGCCAGGAGAGCTGCAGCTGTAAACACTGCTCCATGCACAGAGGGCCGTTAGCTGAATCAGGGTGGAAATCCATGACTCCTCCTGGGCAGGAGGGATTTGTTGTATCCTTGAGCTGGAGCATCCACAATCTTCTAGTGACATGTAGGGCCTGAGATGCAGCTAGCGAGATGCTTGTTCTGTGTGAGTCCTGAGGATTCGAATTCAGATGAGACTTGGTCCCTGCCCTTGGTGGATTCGAGTGCTCCGACAGTTTAGAAAGTCGGCGCAGGTTGGCACTGCCGTTTTTTCTGTTGGAGGAGGAAGTTCAAGCCTCTGAGATGGGATTGAGAAACCCTGGTTTACACTTAGACTTAATTTCAAAAGCACATCTAGAAGGGCCAGAGTCGAGTCAAAGGGAAGTGAATGATTTCAGACTCACAGGGGACAGCTGTGTGGGAGGCCAGGGCTTGGAAAGAGGGAGGGCATGACAGATAGAGGCCAAAGACTGGACTCCCAGAGCAACCGTGTGTCTAATAAAGGGGGCTGTGGGCAGCGGAGAGCCCCTGGAGCTGTGTGCCAGGCAGGGAACCCCATGTGCAAACCCAGAAAGGGTGTCTTTTCTGACACAGCTGGTGAAAGTTAGGCCTTTGGAAAATGTGAAGGGGGAGGGAGAGGAGAGCAGACAATTGGCCTCCTCCTCAGTGCCCCTCTCTCCACGTGGCACTAGGGGGCATCAGAGCTGTTGGGGTTTAAAGGTACATGGGTGGGCTTGGAGTAGAGGGAACATGGACTTGGAGGCTGGTCCTGTGCTTCTGGGCAGGGCAAGAGTCAAGGCTCCGTCCCATGTGGGGAGAGCTACCTGGAATCCTGGTTAGTTACACGAAGAGGCAGGTGATGGGAAACCTGCTGTATTTGGCGGACGCTGGCCCTGGGTGCTTAGCCCAGGTGCGTGCACGGCTCTTCTGTTCCCACTCAGCCTAGCTGGAGGATTCCAAGGGCCTACTTTTTGGAGCAGGGTCTTTTAAGTCATTTGCATTTTAAGCAGGGGTTTCAGGCTGACAAATTCAAGGAGGATCAGGAACGTGCCGGGAGCAGAGGGATCTGGCTGGGGTTTCAATGTCTCCCTGCCATGTCTCACTGCCACCTTCTAGCAGTGCCCAGCCTGCCAGGGGAGATGGGTTCAGATTCTGGCCCTGGCAGCTACCAGCTAGGCCTGTTTTCCTATCTGGGAAATGGGGATACCTGATGGGATGGTCTGTGAGGCTCTCATTGGCCCATGCCCCTGAGTTCAGAGGAGTGGACACCCACCAGCAACAAGGCCCCTGTGGCCAGTGGAGGCTGGGAGCCAAGGCTGAGATGTCTTCAGGGCTGTGAAGCTTCCAGGCCACTAGCGGGCTGCTGCCAGGTCAGGGAGCATTTCCCGATACCTCCCTTTCCCTAAAGTGGGAGCTGTGTCATTTCTGAGGCCTGTGGCTTCTGCCCCACAGCCCCTAATCATTCCGAATCTGGACCAAGGTCGGGCTCTGTTCTCTGCTCTATGGGGAGGGTCTTCGCTGGGCCGAGGGCAGAGGCTTCTGCATTTGGAACCGGGCTTCTTCCTTCTTGGAGCACTGTCTTCCTGCCTCTGGGTGGTAGGTGGAAGGCAGTGAGAAGGAGAGGGTGCTCTGAGAACAAGTTTGAGGGAGCGAGTTGGGACCAAACACTCTGACTGCCTCTGAGGCATGTCCTCCTGTGGGCCCTCCCGTCTGGGCTGAGGATGGGTGCTAGCAGTAAGGGTCCTTCCCTGAACTTTGGTTCCTCCCACGGGAGTGTCTCTGCCCTTCCTGCTGGAGAGGGGGAGGCCCCTTAGCCCTCTGCCTTTGCAGCGGTGGGGGTGGGGGTGGGGGATGGGCATGGCTGGCCAGTGGGCTGGGGCTGGGCAAGGGAGCTGGGCAGAACCAAGGAGGGAGAGGCCGGGTGCTTTCTGAGGAAGCGCCGCTGTGGTTTGGGGTGCGGGTGCGGGGCCCCGGGGAGGGTCCTCTCTGGGAGAATGGAGAGGTTTCCCCTGGGCTCAGTCCAGTGCAGCCACTGTCTGCCTGGCATCGTAGGGTTGGGATACAGGCCACTTCTCAATGACCACACTGCTGCCTCCCTTTCCATCCAGCCCGCCAAGCGCCGTCCCTTTCCCTCCTGGCAGTTTGGCAGGAATTTGCTGAAGTCACACGGCTGCAGTTTCCTGAGTGAGGTCTGGCATAAGAGGTCTGTGTCACTTGTCACTTTGCCCTCTTCCAACCTTTCCTTAAGCAGCCTGACTCCACCATCCTCCCTTGTTAGCCGACTGCATGGGCATTTCTTCAGACTCTAGCAGGTGAGCATGTGCTCATCTTACCCTGGCTATGGCCTCTGAACTGGTTCTCTTGTGGGGACGTGGCTGTCCCTAGATGCAGGATGAGGTGGCAGAACCTTGGGTCTGGGATCCAGGCCTGCTGGGCTCACCTTGGGCTGTGATGGGGCAGCCTGTTGAGAAGGCCCTGAGCAGCAGGGATCAGAGGCTGGAATGTGACAAAAGCAGTAGGCATAGGGCCTGGCCAACACCAGGCTCCCCCGCCCACACTGGCTGAGCATCATTGGGTATTTAGTTTTGGGGGTGACCAGAAGGGTAGGAGGAAATCCAGGAACAAGTGGGCTCTTGGAAGCCAAGATCAGAGGCTCAAGGAACAGCTCTCAGGGTCCAGGATGTGGCATGGGTGGTCAGCATGGGTGCTGCTGGTGACCCTGGGAGAGTTCTGGGAGGCAGAGGCAGGCTTCGAGTGCGTGACACAGGGCACAGGGTACCAAGGTGGAGTGTGGATTGCTCATGAGAGGAGGGGACCTATTTGTGACAGGGCCTTGGGGAGTTGGCTGTGCCTGGACTGGCTAGAAAACAGGCTGCCAGGATGGGCCCTTCCCATCTCACAGCCCTGTGGGCTCTCCCTGGCCTGAGGGGGGAGCAGCAGACAAATGAGTAGGGACTTGTGTCCTGGGTTGTACTAGGCAAGTTGTGCAGACCAACCATGGGGCCCAGGGCTGGCTTTTAACCTGTTGGCCCTCCAGGTAGCGCTCCGGGTCTCTAGTCTGGCTACTCCTGAGTGGGCCACAGTGAGTCCCTGGCAGATCTGGCTGCTAGTGCACCTCTGTGAGTTCCTAACCTCAGGCTCAGCCCCCACCGATTGGGGACCATGGAAGACCCCGGGTCCTCTGCCCTGGCCTACTCTCTTCCTGAGGCCTGAGGCTACCTGGTCATTGGGCTTGTTCACAACTGCCCCGGGCAGCTGGTGGCTCTGTGGAGGTCCTGAACAGTGCGCCAGACAAGGCAGATGTGCCTCCCATTGCTGAGGGGGGAGATGGAACGTGGTCTCTGAAGGGGGCCGGCTGGGTGCTTTGGGGTATCGCCTCCCTGGGCTCCAGGCCTTGGGCCACCTGGAGGAAGTCCTCCTGGAGGAGGCTGTCCTGTGATGCCTGGTCTGGGGTTGCTCCCAGGGCTGGATGCTGCCTCGAGCTACCCTGTGCTACACAGTGAGTGAGTTCGGATGAACAGGGAGGGTGGCTGGCGCCAGAACACTAACTGCCTGGGGCGAGGAAGTCGAAGGCCATGGTGGGTGGGTTGCTCCCAACCACACCACTGATGCCTGAACAGGGCTCTCCCTCCTCTGGGCTCCAGCTTCCGGTAAGGGCAGGGATGGTACCTGGGCGGGGTTGCCATGAGGACCACAGGTGGTGAGGGTGGGGCGCCTGGCCTTGGGATGCTCTGGGCTGCAGGGCCTCTGTCTTGTTCACTTTGGAGGCCCACCCAGACCTGCCCCGGGATGGCAGTGGAATGGAGTGGCTGCTTTCTCTGGAAGGTCAGAGTCAGGAGTTAGTAAGGGTTTTCAGAATTAGTCAATTCTCTAATTCTGCAGCTTCCATGTGGCCCATTGCTCAAGAATGGGGGCGGGGCCTTCAGCCACAGCTGAAGCCACTTGCTCTGTTTGGATTCTGAGCCAGTTGTCAAAGAGCTGAAACTCACTCATCTGGGACTGATTGCGGCTGTCAGAGGAAGAGTGCGGGCTGTTTGGCAGAGGCTGATAGGAGGGCAGCATGTCTTTCCCTGGGGCAGGGGTCCCCTCACTCCCATGGGGCTCCACAGGAACGGATACCAGGGTGTGTGTTGCTGCATCAGAATTGGCCTAGAGACCAGGCTATATTTCTCAACCCAGAAAATTTTGGATTTTAAAAAACTAAATTAAGCCAATACTGCTTTTGAGGTCTGGGGCAGTGCCTGTAGTCAAAACATTACTATTTCTGCAGCAGGACACAAATATTCTCTTTAGGTGCATAAACAGGTTCGGTTCACACGTGGCTGCTAGGTCAGTGCTGCAAACTTAAAGTTCTGCTTTCAGAGCTTTCTGGCATTTGGAATTGTAGGTAAGAGGTGTAGACTCCAGTGGCAGGTGTGGCACCTGAGGACAGACCCTGTGCTCAGAGCCTCCTGCTGGCTGGGCAGACAGGTTTCCAGTCCCTGGTCACTCGGGCTTGGGCCTGGGCCTGGGCTCTTGGAGGAAGGTGGTTCGGGCCAGTCATGGACTTGCTGGCAGGAATGAGGTTCTGCTCGGCTCCCTTGTTACTGAAGGGAAACGCCCTGACTCTCCCGGGGACATGGGCAGCCTGCTGAATGCGGGCAGCAAGGTCCCCACCTCGCTGCTCTGGGTAGGCAGGGCTGGGGAAGGGTGTGTGGGGCGTGGTCTTGTAGGTCTCAAACCCTTGCTCCTGACTAAGAGCATCAGAAGGGGCAGCCTGCTGTGCCAACTAGCTCTGGCTGGAGTAAGTGATGAATCTGGGCAGAAAATACCACAGGGGGCTCCTGAGGCACCAAGCAGCTCCAGGGGCAGAGCATGGTTGGTGTGGGCCTCCTTAGGCTGGTTTGGTGGCCACTGGGAATCCATGCTCAGGTGGGGCTGGTCTCCTGGCACTGAGGACCTTGGTGAGAGTGTCCAGCCCTCTTGGGCTTCCTCCAGCTTTAGACAGTGTAGACTAGGGTTTTGGGGTCTGGATAGAAAATAAGGGAAGAGGCAGGTGGGGGCTGCTGCCCTTTGACATTTGACCCCAGAGGACAACAGTAACCAGCAGGCTGGACAGTTGCATGGGCTGGTTCACTAGACAGCATTGCAGGGAGACCACACCACCTGGAGGGCACTGAGGGGACAACAGGGGAGGGGTGACTTGCCCCAGCCTCCTTCCCCCCAGCACTTTCCAGAGCTTTTGATCGGATGGCTGGGTTCTAGGCTCTGCCTCTTAACAGTTTTGATTGTCAGGTAGGTAATATGGAGTGTCCAGCCCAGGTGAGTGCTCAGCCACGTAGTCGGTCCCCAGAAGGTCACTGGGAAAGGACCCTGGTGATTCCTTCAGAGGGCAAGCTTCCCCTCTGGAAGGTTCTTGGCTGGTGCAGGTGATTTGGGTGTGAGCCTGGTTTGCTTTGCACTCTGCTTTTCCACTGGATGTTGTAACGGGACGTGCAAATCCATGTGGTTCTCAGGGTTCCAGCTGTAGGAGGAAGCAGGACGTGGAGCTGGCGTGGTGCCAGAGCTGAGTGGTCCGAGGCCAGCAGCCCACTTCCAGCTCCCCCGAAAGCAGCCTGATTAGTATCAGTAGTTGTAGGAGCTGTTGGCCGTGACTGTGGACTGTGAGAGCAGGTCTGTTCTCAGCCGAGGGCAGCCTGTCACATCCACCTATGTGTGGGGACACAGCTGGTGGCTCAGGGCCTTGCTGAAGCCCCCATTCCCTACTTTGGCAACAGGCCTCAGGTGCTTTTTCAGCTGGATCTTTCGCCACCTGTCCTGACGTGTGGTCTGAGAGAGGGCCCTGCACAGCCGCGGGGGAGGGCTGATGGACAGTGTGGTGGCCTGACCTTTGTAGTCCTTAGAATACAAGAAGTGGTAACTGCCACAAATCCAGGCCTGTTGATCGCTGGCCCTTAGACCTGGCCTGCCTTTGCTCTAGTCCAGCTGGTCAGCACACAGACTCAAGGGCACCATGAGTGTGGGAAACAGGGTGAAACAAAGGTAAACAGGTGTCTTTGCTGCAGGACTTCAGAGCCTTTTCTAAACTAATGCACGCAGTGACTCCAGGAGGGGAAGACGGGCAGTTTCCCAAAACTGACCAAAGAACCTCCATCTTACTTTCTGCAGGTCTTGCCAGCGGGACTAGTGTTTCAGGATGAGCACCTTTGGGAAACGCTTCTAGAACGGACTGTGTCCCTTGTAGATGTTTCAGGCACTTCCCTCTTCGGTGGGTGGGAGGTGGATAATTGAGTGTGACTTTTTCTTTAAGCCGTTGAGAACCAGACTTCCTCTTAGTCTGGTGTGTTTTTTTGTAACTCCCAGCGGAGCAGGGAGCAGGCAGGTCCCGCTTTCGTCCCCACAGCCGGGAGCCTGCTCTGCGGGGCTGTGGGTGCTGCCCCGGGATCCCCAGCTGCGCAGGCTGACAGCTGTGAGCAGTAGCAGCCCTCGCGGTTCTGGCTTCCTGGGAAGGGGCCGTCGCCGCAGCAGCTCTGGCGTTTTGAGGAGGAAGCCCTCTGTTTTGCGCGTTTCACCTTGACCCTTTTTTGGTCGTTTATTAAGCTGAACCTTCCTCCTCTGTGCACGGTGGGAGAACGAGAGCAGCTGCTTCCAGAATGTTGTGGGCATAGGATCCTTAGCAGTACTTGCTGCCGATGGGGCCGAGTGGATAGAGAAGTGGCTTCAGAAACACTGAGGAGGCTGCTGGGG